GCACTGTGTTAAACTTTCAGCACTTAATGTTGTGTGAACAGCATCTATAAATCTTCCTCAATCATGTCAGGAATGACTTCTAAGCAGCTCATGGTGGAATGGGGATTGCTCTTCTTCCTATAGCAAAGGTTATGGAATTCCACGCTTATTTATCCTGACTTGTCTCACTGTCCTCTCTCCATTCTTCAATAATATTGAATGTTGAACTTCCAATTTTCAGTCTTTGAGGAGAATTCTCATCAAGTTCTCCTTCCTGGATGCTATTGTGCATATTATAAAAATAAAACTAACTTATTGAATTATAATACATGCTCATGGTAAAAAATTCAAACACTGCTGAAAGGTGTAATGAAATGAAAGAATCTCCCTTCAACCTCTCTCTGGCCCCCTATTTGCACTTTCCATTGATAATTTATTCCTGCTAACCAATCTGTGTTTATATTTTATGAAGTTTGCAATGTATATGCATATATATGTTAACTTCCAAAGTAATTTTCTATTAAAGGGGCTTTTCTTCCCACAGATAGCATTGAATCTTAATGCTTGTTTCTTCTTTATTTCTTCCTTTACTTTTCATATGACATCTTATCAGACAGTCATTCTTTTTGCAACTATTTCTAGAGTATCTACTATGTGCCATGGAGTGTGAGAGCACAGGAAATATCAAAGAATATAAAATGAAAATAGTTCTTGCCCTGGCAAGTGTGGCTCAGTTGGTTGGCCTTCATCTGATGATTGTTGGTTGATTCCTGGTCAGGGCACACCCTTGGGGTTGTGGGTTCCATTCTTAGTAGGGGGAGTGCAGGAGGCAGTATATCAATGTTGTGCTCTCACATCACATCAATGTTTCTCTCTTTCCAAAGATTAATAAACTATTCTTTAAAAAAAAGAAAGAAAGAAAGAAAGTAGTTCTTGCCCTCATGGAGCTTATAGCTCTTCATTTTTTATTTTCTTAGCATTATTCCTATACTAGAGGCCCGGTGCATGAAAATTCATGCACTAGAACGGGGGGGGGGGGGAGGGGACCGGGGTCCCTCAGCCCGACCTGCCCCCTCTCAGAGTCCAGGAGCCCTCAGAGGCAGGAGATGACCCAGCGATCATGGGAAGGCAATGTCCCCATCACACCTCTGCTGCTGCCACTGCTGGCAGCTCAAGCCTGGGCCAGCCCTGATTACCTGAGCCTCGAGTGGCCCTGGGCGGCTGGGCAGCCACCACCTGAGGCTGGCCTGAACCTTGGGCCGGACCTGGGCAGCTGGGGGACTGAGGGGTCTGGGGGACTCTGAAGGCAGGTGCACTGGTGGGGCTGAGGGGACTGGGAACCATCTCGTGGCTGTGGGCCCCACCATCTTTGAGGGCATGGCAGTCAATTAGCATATTCCCTCCTTATTGGCGGTGAGCACCTCCATCTTTGCTACAGCGTGAGGGTCAATTAGCATATTCCTTCTTTATTAGATAGAATTTCTCTTTTGATTAATCTTCTAACTTTGATTTGTTAACTACAATGATAATTATGTGTAGAATACTTTGTAGTTATTATGTATTTTTTATGTGAACAGATTTGATGTTAATAATTCTTTTGCAAATAATTTGTGGTCTAATTGGGATTTTCATATACAGTGGGGCCTTGACTTACGAGTGTCCCAACTAACGAGTTTTTCGAGATACGAGCTGTCTCTCGGCCGATTTTTTGCTTTGAGTTGCGAGCTAAAATTAGGGTTATGAGCCAGCTTCAGATACCCCATCACTAGTTGGTGCAGCGAACGTCACAGTGAACGCCACAACATCAGCCCAGCATCACGTGTCCCACTCGTTCACTGTTTGATTTGACATACGAGTAATTTGAGTTACGAGCTCCGTCATGGAACGAATTAAACTCGTAAGTCAAGGCCCCACTGTATAGTATGTTCCTGAAGTTTTTCTGTTTGTATCTTGGTTGGTTGTGATCTTTATCTTTTGTGTCAATATTCATTGGATCATCAGGTACTAATGATGTGCTTATTTTTATACACATACTAGAGGCCAGGTGCACAAATTTGTTCACAAGTGGAGTCCTGAAGGGGGTGCAGGTTGGGAGGGGGGGGCTGGGACATGATCGGCCCTCTGGTCAGGTGGTGGGATGCCCTTGCCGGCCCAGGATCCAGATCCGTCCCACTAACATACATGCTAATTGTCAGGAGCCTCCTGGCAGCCACTTTTGTATTGTTTCTTCCTTGTGAAACATCTAGGGAAGGGAAGTGGCCATGGTGCCCAAGGCTGACTTCCAAGAGGCCAACTGCACTGTTGGGATCTTGTGAGTGGCACTGGTCCATTGGTGCCTGGCCCATTCTCTGGAGATTAGACCTGCAGGACTACTGAGGGAGGGAGTGGCTGCTGCTGGGCTGGTGGGCTGCCAGGAGGGGTCGATCAGCTTAGCCGCACTCCCACTGTGGGAGTACACTGACCACCACAAGGCAGTTACTGTGTTGATCATCTGCCCCCTGGTGGTCAGTGCGCATGATAGTGACCAGTCGTTCTGGTCATTCGGTCATTCAACCGCTTAGGCTTTTATATGTATGGATACATGGTTATCTTCATATATATATAATGTTGGCATACAGTCAACACTATTCTTATATACTTAATTGAACATTTCTATTTCTACCAACACTGATGTTTTTATAACAATGAAAATAAAAATTAAAAAATCGTATTTTATTAGGCTTGTATAAATGTTGAGACATTCTCCTCTGTGGTAGTAACTTCTCTTTTATGTGTGAATGAAGCACTTCTTTCTCCTCTGTCAAATACTGGCAAAATGCTTTTACACTTCTGCAAATATCAACCTTGTGCATCTTTATTACTTTCTTTTCCTTGTCCTTTGGTGCACTGAGCTGTCTTTATCTAACAGTACAATTTTATCATCTTTTCTTTGGTCCTTCTGGGAAGAACCTAGTTGTCTCTTAATGAGATGATATAACAACCTCTAATAATTTCCACATAAAAAGCAAATTCTATCAGTTTTAGCTCTCCATATGCATTTGACAAGACACAGCAGTTCATTGTTATTCCAAAGTACAACTAGTTTATTTGATATCTTCATTTTGTAAAAGCCAATGATATATTTTTTTCTTAAATACACATTTCTATCAGAGGAAACGATTTATGTGATTAGTTCTATAAGCTATTCTATAAGCCAAAAAGCATTCTCTCTTTTGACATATTCTTCCAGGGCAAAAAGCTCACCTTTCTAACTGCAGGTAACCTCAATTATTTCCTGAGCACAATACCTTTACTCCCCGATTCACAACCTTTTCAACTCAGATTTTTCTTTCTAGACCTCTTCCAGCCCATATTCCCCATTTTAATGGTTCCTTATACTTTGTTCTTGAGAAACTTGCATAGATAGTAAACAAAGAGTCTTCCATCATTGTCTTATGTTCTGGAACATATTTTCTGTTCCTTCAAACTAATAGAATCTGAGCCTCTTCTTAAGGGTACTATAATCCTCATATTTCTCCAAGGAAGGTCACCTTTTTTCTATCCCACTTCTCCCCACACTAGAAACAGGATCTATAGATATTTTCAAACATTCTTGACCTGACTTTTGAATTCACTGTAAGTCTTAAGTATTTGTGATGTCCTATCTACTTCAATCAATGATTTCAACCCCCAGGGAGAAAAATGGTTTATCCTCTCTAATCTAATCTCTGTCATCCTGAAGGACCTCTAAGATTAAACATTGAAACAAAGCAGAAAAAAAATCTGCAGCATTTCTCCTATTTGGTGATACCATTTTGGGTTGCATATTCCAAACAAGGTTTCATTGACTTCATAAGGTTTCATTGACTTCCAATCTCCATTTCTCTGGTCCTTTTCTAGCTTCACTAAACTTCTTTATCATCTCTCTATAACCTGCATGTGTTCCTTGCAAGCTTTCATATGAACTGACTTATTTTATTTTCAATCTGTAGAGATCCAAGTACGAGTGATTACACCAAATGCTTTGATCTTGGTAAACTAGTAAGTGAGCATTCTGACTTCAGATTAAGCTGAGGCTGATCTAGACGTAGATCCTCCTTAAGAGGGGTATAGACGCTATTGATTATTCCCAAATATTTTTCTGAAAATTGTACTCTTGTCCAGTTGTTTGGCTCATTCCTAATGGCGATTTCATTTGAACTCTCTTTCAGCCTCCTCACCATCCTGTCCTTCCAGAATGAGCTACCACATTTGGCTAATGCAAACTGCCATACTCAACATGGGTCTCTACTGCCCTCTAATGTCCACTATAAGAAGTGACCCAGGTGGACAGGTTGAAGCTGTGGAAAAAGTTACTGTGAATTGATGACAACCATGGCTGGAGTCCCAATGCCTCACATCCATACTTCTTAAAAATCTCTTACTAACATTATATTTGATAAAATTTTTACAAACTTTGTTATTTTTTGACTACCATTCCTAGATATGCTGCCTCAATCTCAAGTTAATATACTCACCTAGCCAATTGTGTAAACAGTCTCTCTTGGAATATCTGTCTTCCCTTTTCACTCTGCCTCTGAAGAAGTGAACCTTCTTTGATCCAAAGAGAAATCCATATTTTAGGGTAGAAAGAGCAAATGGAGAAATAAGCAGAAAGAGCAGAAATGGAGGCAAGTTTGGAGAACTCTTTCCAGAAATGTGTAGCCAACGGGAAGAAACAGAAATTAATATTAGAAGAAGATAGCATAATTGAAAGAAGGGTTTCTTCAGTAAGGAACATTAAAGTTTCTTTGTAAGTTTATAAGAAGCCTCTGGTAGAGTGGAAATAATGACTTGAACATGTCTCAGAGCAAACAGCAGAGGGCCCTTCATCTCATATTATCCTACTTTTCTTTCCTTGTATTCCCCCTTTACTCTCCATACTAAAATATCAAGCACAATGTATTGAATATAAATATGGTTAATAAATATTCCCTCAATTAAACTGTACCAACTGGAAAACATTATACTGGTCAAATTCTGTAGCTCAAATGATATCACAACTAGGGATCTCTTAAAACATTCATGCTTTTGTCTGAATGGCACGTCCCACCACCACCATCTCCTACTTTGGAAGAAAACAGACTGAGGAGAGTAGCTGCCTTACCATCATGGTTTATATCAATCTTATGAAACACCAAAGTTGGTGAATTCTTCAGGACTCAGAGTTTGCTGACCATTGAGGGCTTGTACAGTCTGCAAAGAGAAATTAAATCAAGGAGTTCAACTTCGTTGGAAATAAATACATTTTATGACATTTCTACCCCAATGTGACAAATTTTGGGGATGCGTGCATATCAGTTTTGCTATCTGACCTGTTCCTATTGTTAAAAATAAAAGGTTGTATTCCAGTTATTAGTTAATGAGGCTTGGAAGTTAAATGAACAGCATAGTCTGAAGTTCGATTTCATACAGCACAGAGGGATCTGTTCAACATGTTAGGTCACAAAAGATGCCAAGAGCCCACCAGAGAAAAAACTTGTAGCAGTCACTCTCATAACAATTACAGACCCAGAAAACAGACAATGTTTTCCATTTCAAACCTAATGTCTTTGACCTTATGAGTGAACATAAAAGGATGATCTGTAAGTCTCTAAGGCTTCCTTTCTGGCTTCTGACAGTGGAACCTCTGGTCCTTTCTGCCCTTTCATAGAATGTTCAACTGGGAAGACAGATAGGTATGCCTTGGAAGGACACTGACTTTCTCTCACACGCTGCCAGCTCTTCTTCTTCATAAAAAGTTTCAGGGGACTCAGGGAAAGTGACACTTCCAGCTCCCCCGCCCCCACTCCCTACTCCAAGTGATTAAATGAAATGACCTGTATTTGACATAGAAATTCATAATAAAATGAAAGAGAGAGACACACAGAAAGAATAAATTAGTCATCTGGAATTTGAACATAACTATCTTGATTGAACATCAAGGAATCTCTGGAAGCACTGGTGGCAACACATTTCAATTAGAGAGCATGGACTTAAACATGACTATCTCTTTTACTGCTTCCCAAGTACTACTAGTATTAAAGCCGGGATTAATCATAATTAATAAAGTTATTAATCATAATAAATTAATCATAATGGCAAAGCACCGCTTGTGGCTTTAGCAAGTTGAGGTCTTACCGTCAAATATAGGGTGATACTTAGAGTGATGGTTACATCTATGGAGCATCTTATTAGATGAAGTTTTTAGGGTTTTTCAGTGTCTTAGCCGAGACCCCAACACCTAGAAAATGTGGGTAGGCCTCCATATTCCCACATCCTGAATTGATACTAGACCACATGTAAGATTCATAATAAAAGATTATAAAATTTCTAGGAGTTGTCCACCACTCATCCCCTGGCAATGTCCATGAGAGTGAAGGCTTAATGGGAAGGTGACAAAGCTTGAGGGGGTAATATTTTTGGAAGGAATTGTCAGTATGCCTGTGTCTTCCCTCTTCTTATAGGAGAAGCATGTGGAGAGTGAGCAAGGAGGCATGGTTTGTTTCCTTGTTTCCTTCCTCATTTAGCACATGCTCTTTCTCCTGCATCTGGCTGAGCTTTTCTCTGGTCTCTCTCTGAGTGGGAGCAGAGGAGGTGTGAGAGAATTGGAAGCAGCAGAGCTCTGACTTGGTACTGTCGTGGTTATCTAGTTTCAGAGCTCTCCAGATGAAAGATGTCTAAAGTTGACCCTTTTTCTGAGGACCCCCGACCTCCTTTTTATTACTGAGACTCTCTCTTGTAGTTCTCTAAACATAAAGCATGCGTTTTGATTTCAGCTGATTCTTCCAGGCTCCTCTACAGCCTCCAGGTGTTTCTCAACACCTATACACAATTGGCATTTTGGACTAGACAATTCGCTCTTGTTCAGGGTCATCTCCTGCATTGTACAATGTTTAACAGCAGCCCTGGTCTCTACACAATAAGTGGTGGTAGCACCACACCCTCCCCAGCTTCCCGACAACCGAAATATCCGTGATATTGCCAAATATCTCCCGGAGAGGAGTGGACAATCGCTCCTGGTTGAGAGCCATTCTGTAGATCTATCTCCAGTTTCCTTCTTTTGAGGTTGCCTCATTTTCCAAAGGGCTCAGCTGGACAAGATCCAAGACAACTCTAACACAGCGTCCTCTCCCAATTACCAATATCTGACCCATAGAAAAACCCAGGCATCCTTCATCCCAACAAACTCCAGAAATGCAGGGATTTCCTAAACATCATCCCTCTAACTGCTGCCCTGTGTGCCTCTTCAGATATTTCAGGTATGACTAAAACACTCAACGCTGTGCTCCCACATCACCATGGTCTCCTCAAACCTTCATGCTATTGACTTGAGGACTTGTACCCAAGAAATCCTTTCCTATAATCCTTCTCACAAATGCTCCTCTTGTCCATTTAAGATCTAACTACTTCTATAAATTCTGCCTATAATCTAGTTCTTCCTTCATATCTATTAATGCCTGGGCTGAATTCCATTTCCACATCTTGATATCATGTGTCAAGAGAACTCATACTGTACAGTATGCATTATTTTTTACCCTGCTGGGGTTTTTTGCCATAATATAGAAAATATGTTCGTAGACCACTAATCCTATCTAATAATAGACAAACATGGTAATTAACCGTACCTCCGGCATGCTTCCCATTGGCTAATCAGGGCTATATGCAAATTAACTGCCAACCAAGATGGCGGCCGGCAGCCAAGCAGCTGAAGCGAACAGGAGACTTGCTTGCTCCAGTGATGGAGGAAGCCAAGGTTCCCCACCTGCCACTGCCGGCCTCTGAGCTGCACTCTAAGAAACAATGATGCAATTATAGAAGCTAAACAAACCCCAGAAACCTGCTTTCAACCAGCCAGACCTCAGAGCTGGAGCTGCAACAGTGTTTCAATTATAGAAGCCAAACAAACCCAGATACCTGCTTTCAGCAGCTAAGGTCTCAGAGCTGGAGCCGAGCCTCAGAGCTAAAGCCGGCTCTCAGTTCCAGTGACAGCCATAGAAGGTAAATAAATCCCAGAATAAAAAAAAAAAAGAAAAAAAGGAGAGGTTGGGAGCTTCAGTCACCCACCAGCCTGAAAACGGCCCTCAGCCTCTCACCCAGACTGGCCAGTCACCCCAGTGGGGACCCCCACCCTGAAGGGGGTGTGACCAGCTGCAAATAGCCATCAGCCCCTTATCCAGGTTGGCCAGGCACCCAAGCGGGACCCCCACCCTGATCCGGGACACCCTTCAGGGCAAACCAGCTGGCCCCCATCTGTGCACCAGACCTCTATCCTATATAGTAAAGGGGTAATATGCAAACTGACCCTAACAGCAGAAAGACTGGGAATGACTGGTCACTATGACACACACTGACCACCAGGGGGCAGACGCTCAATGCAGGAGCTGCCCCCTGGTGGTCAGTGAGCTCTCACATGGGAGGAGCTCTGCTCAGCCACAAGCCAGGCTGATGGCTGCCAGTACAGTGGTGGTAGTAGGAGCCTCTCCTGCCTCCTCAGCAGCACTAAGGTTGTCCAACTGCAGTTTAGGCCTGCTCCCCTCTGGCAAGTGGACATCCCCCGAGGGATGCTGGGCTGCCAGAGGGATGTCTCATTGCCTCTTAGGCCCAATCCCCCAGGGAGCAGGCCTAAGCCAGCAGTTGGTCATCCCCTGAGGGGTCCCAGACTGCCAGAGGGCGCAGGCCGGGCTGAGGGGTCCTCCCCTCAGCCCGAAGTGCACAAATTTTTGTGCACCGGGCCTCTAGTTTTTTTATAAGTACATATTCCATTGAATTAATTTATTTAAAAATTTTCCTCTTTCAGGTTGTTTTGCATTTTTACTTACTTAAGTGATTCTATGATGAAGTTATAGAACTTCTATCTTTATGACATTGATGATTATTATTCCTGACCTGAAGTAACTAATGTTGACTTTAAAATAAAAATTTAGCATATTAATGCAAATTACCAAATTTCCAAGAATGTTATAGCCATTGATACTTCCTCCACAATGGCTAAGGGTACTCTTTTTTTTTTTTAATATATTTTATTGATTTTTCACAGAGAGGAAAGGAGAGGGATAGTTAGAAACATCAATAAGAGAGAAACATCAATCAGCTGCCTCCTGCATACCTCCTATTAGAGATGTGCCCACAACCAAGGTACATGCCCTTGGCTGGAATCGAACCTGGGACCCTTCAGTCTGCAGGCCAATGCTCTATCCACTGAGCCAAACCAGCCAGGGCTAAGGGTACTCGTTTTATAGTGTCCTTGCCAGAAATACATCTTATTGTTTTTATCTTTATTAATTTAACTAGTGGCCCGGTGCAGGAAATTCGTGCATGGTGGAGGGGGTGTTCCTCAGCCCAGCCTGCACCCTCTCCAATCTAGGACCCCCTCGAAGGATGTCCTACTGCTGGTTTACAGGGATCAGGCCTAAACCAGCAATCGGACATCCCTCTCGCAATCTGGGACTTCTGGCTCCTAACCACTCACCTGCCTGCCTGCCTGCCTGATTGCCACTAACCACTCTGCCTGCTGGCCTGCTTGCCCCCAACTGCCCCCCACCACCGGCCTGCTTGCCCCCAAATTCCCCCCCCCCACACTGTCCTGATTACCTCCAACTGACCCCCACTGATGGCCTGCTTGCCCCCAACTGGCCCTACTGCTGGTCTGCTTACCCTCAATGGCCCCATCCCCCACCAGCCTGATCACCCACAACTGCCCTCCCCTCTTGGCTTCTAGCCGCCTCTACCTCGGCCCTGCCACCATGGCTTTGTCCAGAAGAATGTCCGGAAGTTCTCCTGGAAGGTCTCCCAGTCTAATTAGCATATTACCTTTTTATTAGTATAGATAGAGGCCTGGTGCACAGGTGGGGCCAGCTGGTTTGCCCTGAAGGGTGTCCCGAATCAGGGTGGGGGTTCCCTTGGGGCATAGGGTGGCCCTGGCGAGGGGCCTGTGGTGGTTTGCAGGCTGGCCACGCCACCATGGGGTGAGGGTCCCCGCTGGGGTGGTGTAGCCAAGCTTGGGTGAGGGGCTGAGGGCTGTTTTCAAGCTGGCCACACCCCCTTCAGGGTGGGGGTCCCTGCTGGGGTGCCTGGTCAGCCTGAGTGAGGGGCGGCTGAGGGCCATGTTCAGGCTAGCCACACCGCCTTCAGAATGGTGGTTCCGCTGGGGTGCCTGGCCAGCCTTGGTGAGGGGCTGTGGGCTGTTTGCAGGCTGGCCACACCCCCTTCAGGGTGTGGGTCCCCACTGGGGTGCCTGGCCAGCCTGGATGAGGGGATGAGGGCTGTTTATAGGATGGCCACACCCCTTTCAGGGTGGGGGTCCCCACTGGGGTGCCTGGCCAGCCTGGGTGAGGGGCCAATGGCTGCTTGCAGGCTGGCCAAGCCCCCCAGCGGGGACCTTCACCCCATGGGGGTGTGGCCAGCCTGGGTGAGGGGGTGAGGGTCATTTTCAGGCTGGCCACACCCACTTCAGGGTGGGGGTACCTGCTGAGGGGCGTGGCCAACCTGGGTGAGGGGCTGAGGGCTGTTTGTCGGCTGGTCATGGCCCCGTATCAGAATTCTGAATTTAGTGATTACGAAGTTTGATTACACAGTGCCTCTTAATACATTTTTGTGAATGATCTATGTGAGATTAAAGTGAAACAATAATAGTATTATCATACTTTTGAATTCTTTCCATATTTTGATTAGCTCTACATTTGCTAAAGTTTTAAATTTTAACAAATTTGTCCACTTGAAGTATTTAATTAAAATTGTAATTCCAGCCTTCTTTTACATTTTTACTAATATTTCTGCTATAAATTATGTTTGTAACTCAACTCCTTCATCTATAAATGAAAGAATTTAGACCAGATTATTTCTAAGACATCTGATTCTAACTCTGATTCTGTTATAAAGTCAGTGTAATTACAGTCATAATGTTTGTTTTACTTTATATCTTCATTTAGGTATAGTCTCCCACTTAATCACCTTTTACTTTGAAAATCATATCTCATACAATGATAATAATATCCCCACCCCATTGGTAAAGGGTGGCTAGATTTATAAAAGGACTTACTAGTAATGAATGTTAGAGATGGAAAGGAGTGGGTATTCCTGAGCTATCTGTCAGAAATACTTTAGTCAGCTCCCAGAAAGATTAGTCCTCAAGTATCTTTATTCTTAGTCCATGTCTCTTGTTATATAAGCCATCTTCCATTTTAGCTGCTATTTGCAAGGCTTTCTGCACCAAGGCAGAGAAAAAAGATAAGCTGTTTTAGAACATCATGTTTATTTCATTTTTCATCTCAATACTCTGCTAAATTTGTGAACTTCAGAGTGGACTACACACAGAAGGAAATGGTTTGCAGCTGTACACTCAGTAACCAATAAGATAGTGAAACTTACATTGTTTCAGCAGCTCCAAATGCATATCCCAAAATAGCCTATCACATAGCTGTCACCAACTCCATAGGGAGGAAAATTGAATTAACTATATAACATTCTCCAAAGGATATTTTACTATTTCACTTACCATGAAGACGTTCAGCAGTTCCTTTTTGTCAATAGAACCATTTCCATCAGCATCATACAGCTTAAAATACCGCTTTAACTTTTGCCCCATTTTTCCTCGTACAACTAGATTTACAGCAGCAATAAACTCTAAAAAGTCAATAAATCTATCTTACGGAGAGCAAGGTGGAAAGAGAAATAAATATTTTAAAATAACAATTGTTTTTTATTTGAGAAGTTATCGTGTATGAGCAGACCTTTTATTTGAGAAGTTAACCCAAAAAATTTTAGCATAGAACTTTTTCTTGGTGTTTCATTTTAAAAATAATATATAGGGCCCTGGATGGTGTGGCTCAGTTGATTGAACATCATCCCATGCACCGAGAAGTCACCAGTTCGATTCCTGATCAGGGCACATGCCTGGGTTCAGGCTCAATCCCCAGTAGTGGGTGGGCAAGAGACAGCCGATCATGTTTCTTTCTCGTATCAATATTTCATTCTCTCTCCCTTTTTCTCTCTAAAAAGTAAATTAATTAAAAATAATGATAATATGTGTATAGGAAAAATGGGTATAGAAAAAGAAACAAGTAACTTTAAATATGTAGTTAAATACTTTTTTGGAGAAAATCCCTACTTCTTATATCTAAAAAGAAATGGTTCTCAAATGCCATGACAGAAGGTTGAACCCTCACCACTGAGCACCTACAGTGGTTGCCTTCTCCTTGGTATCTTCAGGTGTTGTCGTCCACTCAGGGAGAAGACCAGGTACTCATTTTTAGTGGAAAGGAAGCATCTCAAGTAGCAGATTCTGCTCTCCTTTTAAAGACTCTGGTTGATCATTTTGGACTGTTAAATTCCAGGATTCCTTTTAAGGGACTCATTTTCGGTGTCAACCAAAATTTCTCAGCCTCTTTATTCTATTGAGATTTTGTAATATTAGTCCATCTTAGAAAAGATTGTTTAAGGCAGCGGTTCTCAACCTGTGGGTCGTGATCCCTTTGGGGGTCGAACAACCCTTTCACAGGGGTTGCCTAACACCATCGGAAAACACATATATAATTACATATTGTTTTTGTGATTAATCACTATGCTTTAATTATGTTCAATTTGTAACAATGAAATTGGGGGTCACCACAACATGAGGAACTGTATTAAAGGGTCGAGGCATTAGGAAGGTTGAGAACCACTAGTTTAAGGGTTGCAAATTTAGGTAGTTCTTCTATCCTTTTTAAACTGGTGAAATGTTCTGAGTTGAAAAAGACAAAGTTGTGTAATTTATAAGAACCATACACTTCAAACTTTGTTCAGCCAAACATTCAACCATCTTAAGAAAGGTGGTCAGCTCTGGGTGTATGACTCACTCTGCTATTTTTCCATGAGTTCAGATGATGGTGATAGCATATACAGCCCAAAACATGCAGTCAGCTGCATTTTCCTTGGAATATTTGGAATGTCCAGTCTTTTTTCTTTTTAATCTTTATTTTTGAAAGTATTACATATGTCCTCTTTTGCCCCCATTGATTTCTTTCAACCTGCACCCATCCCCCAGCCCTGGCCTTCACCACCCTATTGTCTGTGTCCATGGGTTATGCGTTTATGCATACAAGTTCATTGGTTACCATTTGCAGCAACATGGATAGGATGTCGTCTTTCTTACAAAACTGGATGTGACATAAAGTACCTATTTCCCTTGGAAATAAAGAGTGTTAGTGTAAAGTGACATGTGCTTGTCTTGAGTCTAATTCCACCAGATCTCTAAGAAAAGCAACTGAGAAATCAGTAGTAGGTCTGGATGTGAAGCAGAGCCTATTTGGTTGGGTAATGGTTTTTTGAAAAAAGGCAACTACAACATCTCTAATATTGGAAGCCAATGTGCTAATCACTATAATGTTATCTTCACAATGTATTACATTTTTAAATATTCTTCATGCTGTGAATATTTTACCTCTATGTAACAAATATGTAAAAAAGCATAAAATATTTAAAAATCATATCACTACATTTGGGTATTAGAGTTTTACATTTTACAATTTAGTCATCTTTACTCCACTGATAATTTTAATACTTCTGATGAGATAAGACGTGGGCTAACAGATTGGTGTCTGGTTGAATGAGTCTCCTAAAGGAAGTTTGCTCAAGTATATAAAACGTAAAGTGATTTTACCTTTTCTCCATCTACCTTTCCTATTGCCTGTTCCCACCACCTTATTAATCCCTAGCAGAGCTGTGGCTGAAACAAGGAAAACATGTTTTATAGAGCTGAAATTTAAGATGACATCAAGATATTGTATCTCCAGATTTAGCAGGATATGACCATAATTTTTCAGAAACAGAACTGACAGGTGCAGTGGATGTAACCTGGGTGGACAGTATCCAACCAGGGGCACATCTGCTCCCAGGTCTCCCTACTGTGTCTTTAGAGCTGACCAAACAACACAGCTGTTTCCTGGGTGGTTATTGTGCATGTTTACCCAAAGGTCACAGAAGCACCCTCCCTGTGAAGACTGAGCTGGCTATTATAAAGTTGATCCTCCAGTGTTCCCATAACAACCTGATATGTTGTGATGGTTTGTTTCATTTTTCAAATCCTGCATCAGTGATCACAGTTTTCAGTGTCACCTGCATGATGAATGGCAACAGGCTAGATTGAGCAATGTTGCCTGTAAAACAGTTGCTATTTTTTATGAGACACAGCAGGTGGATGGCCCTAGTACCTTCCAATTCAGGCTTTGAAAGCTCTGGGCAAACCCGGAGATGAGCATCAATATTTTTATTGTATGGTTTTAAAATGGACAACCTGCTTAATCTACAGCCAAAGTTGATTATGGGAACAAAACCTTTCTACTTAGACAAGTGCAGCCTCTTCAAAAGCTCCTGGAAGAAAAATATTTCCTGTTTGCATTTCAACATTTTGTTATGTAGTCACACAAATTACTCCTTACAGTCTGCAGCCAACCTTCTTTCCAATTACCTTTCTGTTAAGATTTTGTAGAAATTTGCATTAGAGAGATGATCCCAGTGAATGTGATTTAATAGCTTGTGTTAGTGTTGGAAAGGAGTTTAGGTAAATGCTGTTCTATAAAGCAAAAGAAAAAAGTTATTGTCTTCAGTTAATCTACAGATTTCAAGGATGGAAATGGGGGCTGAGTTACAGAGAAGGTGAGGGGTGAGGTGTCCCTGCAAATGTGAATGCAATAGAGAATGCCCCAAAACTTTTCTTTGGGGCAATCCAAAGAAACACTGTTATGGTTATAATTCTGTATTTGGGCTACAGGAGTCCTCAGGACACACAAAATTGTCTGGAGATGTCAGAGTGGGGTTCTTAAACTCCCTGTATTAGAATTATGTCAGAACAATGAAATATGCAGATTCCTAGACCCCAACTCCAAACAACAGCATCAAAACTCCTTGGGATGGGGTATAAGAGTCTGTATTAAACACTCCCAGGTGAGTCTTAGATATCCCAAGACTAGGAAGCCATGGACCTCAGCTGTTTTTCTTATCCACATCTTTCTTTGTGGGCAATGTAATCATCTAGCTATCTCTCCAAGTGGCTATTGTAAGTGTGACTTATTTTTACATGAATTTACTTAACCTTATAAGACTAACTAGAAAAATTAATACTGACATAGTCACACAAATACAGTCCAGAAATCAAAAATTAATTTCAAAATAACAGCCAGTCTTTACTTTCATTTCTGGAGCAAACACGAGTTGCACAAAATGTATGCATTTCCTCACAGCACCCCTTCCTCTCCCATCTGCTCTTTCACGTGCTCCCTGCTGCTCAGTCTCCAACAACCTCCATAGCCCAGTGTCTTCGCTGCCAGCCTAGGGTGAGAACATTTCACTCTCTTACTCCACCAATTTTTCTCATTATTCTGCATCACAAAATCCTAGAAAATCAGTTTGGCAATGGCAGGATCCTCTTTAGAGGATAAGGGAGGTTGCAAATTGGGAACACACAAAGCCATTCCATGAGCCTTAGGAATGAAGAGTTTGGGAGGATGTATACAAAAATAATTTTAATCCAACATGTTTATAGATTTATACATCTGAGGATGGAGTGGTTTACAAAAGAGCCAAAATAGGGGTCAAGATATGGAAGCATGATAGTTTCTCAGGCTCCTGGGGGAGTTTGGCTCCACTAATATAAGTCATTTTATAGAAAGGGTTTAAAACAAGAAAAAGAGGAAAAAATATATATATATATATATCTGGAGACTTTAAATTTAAACTTTCTCATGGTCTCTCCAATGTGTGAAAACTATAAGTATGCTTTTTACATCTTTAAAAATGTATGTGTGTGTGTGTGTGTGTGTGTGTGTGTGTGTGTGTGTGTGTGTTTTCTGTAGCATTTCTATCCAACAGAAAACCCATAGGTGAAATATGTGGCCTCCAGGCAATGTTCATGACCTGCCAAAAATCAGTTATTTTCAGGATATAATAAATTTGAAATGCAGGTAGAAAGTTGAATTATAAAGCTTATATGCATATGAAAATAATTATTTTATTTATTACTAAGAGTTATGATTTATATTTTAAAAAGGGAATAAAGTCCATGTTCCAAGCACTGTACTAGTCACTTTCCATGCATTATCTTTCATTCTAACAGCAACTTTACAAATAGCCTTATTATTATTATTATTATTATCATTATCATTATCATTATTATTTTATAGAGGAGAAAAGTGATTGTCAGAAAACTCAAACTAGTTAAAGTAACAGGACTAGGATGTAGGAGAGTCCAAGGTTTAAACCCAGTCAGCCTTACTTTACTCTAAGACTTTGTTCTTTGTACCACCCTATTGTGTCCCCGAAACTCATTACAACTGAGTTCTCTTTCTGGAAGAGGTGTCCATAGGCTTGAAGAGATGGGGCATGCTCCATGCAGCGTGCTGCTCTGGATTCCTATGCGTGAACTCTTTCGTCGCACAGTTGCACAAAGTAAGGGAACTCTGAGTGTCTGAGATGCAGCCCCTTGGGGCTTGTGCTGCTTCATACCTGGTGCTGCCCAAGTAAAGCTGGCCTGTCTGCTCTACACTGCTTAGCATCAGGGAGACTTGTGAGCCCAGAGGGTTCTTGGGGCTACCATTTCCAACCCCTCCCTCATCCTGCCCCTTAGCCATCTGGCCCAGCAGGACAAAAGTTGTTCATTCTCCTCTTGCCCT